CGTGTCGCACCCTGTCGCACCGGACGGTCCTCTGGCACCACCGCCTTGGGCACCCTTCGATGCAGCGCCTTCGTGGCATGCACTCTCGTTTCCTTGTCTCTGGTCTCCCCAGGTCACTGCCTCCCCTGCCACCGTCCCCTGCCCCCCCTTGCCTTCCCTGTGTCGAGGGGCGGCAGCGTGCCACTCCTCACTCCTCTGAGTTCCCCCCGATGGAGGCTCCTCTGCAGACCCTTCACATGGACGTGTGGGGCCCAGCCCGCGTCCGTGGACAGGGCGGAGAGCGCTACTTCCTGCTGGTAGTTGACGACTACACGCGTTACACCACGGTCTTCCCCTTGCGCACCAAGGGAGAGGTCCCTGCTGTCTTGATCCCTTGGATCCGCGCTACTCGTCTCCAGCTGGAGAGGTGCTTTCGCACGGACCTTCCCGTCCTGCGACTGCACTCTGACAGAGGTGGTGAGTTTTCCTCCGGCCTCTTGGAGGCCTTCTGTCAGGGGGAGGGCATTGAGCAGACGTTCACGCTTCCGGCCTCTCCTTAGCAGAATGGGGTTGCTGAGCGCCGCATTGGCTTGGTCATGGAGGTCGCTCGTACCTCCTTGATCCATGCGGCTGCCCCCCATTTTCTGTGGCCGTTTGCGGTCCGTAACGCCGCGCATCAGCTCAACCTCTGGCCCCGTGTCTCCGTTCCGGAGACCTCGCCGACACTGCGTTGGACGGGAGCGGTTGGCGATGCGTCTGTGTTCCATGTCTGGGGATCTCGTGCCTTTGTCCGCGATACGTTCGCGGACAAGCTCTCCTCCCGTGCCGTTCCCTGTGTCTTCCTGGGCTTTGTCCCTGACGCGCCTGGCTGGCAGTTTTACCACCCCACCTCGCGCCGTGTCTTCCCCTCTCAGGACGACACGTTTGACGAGTCGATCCCCTTTTACCGTCTCTTCCCCTACCGCACTGCCCCGCTCCCCCCTCCGCCGCTCTTCCTTACGCCAGGTGCTGCTTCGGTAGACCCCCTGCCTCCCCAGGGTCCTGCTCCCTCAGGTGTTTCCCAGGTAGACCCGGTCGTGCCTGTCAAGGTAGCTGTCGACTCTGGTCCTGCGCGAGGTACTGAGCGTGCTGAGCCTGAGCGTGCTGAGCCTGGTGGTGCTGGGTCTGGGGGTACTGCGACTGGGGGTGCTGAGCCTGGGGGTGCAGAGACTGGGGGTGCTGAGCCTAGGGGTGCGGAGACTGCGGGTGCTGAGTCTGGAGGTCCTGAGCCTGGGGGTGCTGCGCCTGGGGGCGTTCTTTCGCCCCAGCAGCTGCGTGAGTGATACTCTCGGTACTGTCGCCGCCGCCGTGGTGCTGTGGGAGCTGGAGGTGCTACTGGAGCTGGAGCTGAGGGCGTTGAGCCTACTGGAGTTGGTGTTGCTGCTGACCCTGGGGTTGGCGCTGGAGGTGCTGGAGCCACTGGTCCTGGAGGTGCTCGTACTGGCGGTACTGGGGGTGCTACTGGAGCTGCTGGGACTGGGGGTGCTACTGGAGCTGCTGGAGCTGGTCCTGCTGGAGGTGCTGCTGGTGCTGCTGGAGGTACTGGAGCTGCTGGAGCTGCTGGTGGTGCTGCTGGTGCTAGGGCTGGTGCTGCTGGAGGTACTGGTGCTGCTGGAGGTGCTGCTAGTGCTGGTCCTGCTGGAGGTGCTGCTGGTGCTGTTGGTGCTGCTGGAGGTACTGGAGCTGCTGGTGGTGCTGAGCGAGTTGGAGCTGCTGCTGGAGGTTCTGGTGCTGTCTCTGCTGGTTCTGGGGGCACTTCACGGCCACAGCCGTACTTCGTTCCCCTCCTTCAGCAGGTTCTTGGTCAGCCGCCTCCTCCTTGTCCTGCTCCCTCCTTAGAGTGTCCTCCGCCTGTCCAGTCGCTGTCACAGCTACCGCCTGCCTCGCCACTCCCTGGTCCTTTTCCCTACATTGGTCCGACAGGCGGTCTTACGGAGCGTCGTGAGCCTGAGTCTCGTCCTGTGTCGCCTGAGTCTCGGTCTGCGTCACCTGTTCGTGCTGCTCGCACTGGTCGTCGTGTCCCGCGTCAGCGTCCTCCTGCTGTCCCAGGCACTCACCAGATGGCGCTTCATCCTTCCACTGCTCCACAGCGTGTCCCGCTGCCTTCTCCTCCTGCGTCCTCTCTTCCTGCCCTTGCTGACCCGGAGTCTGACTCTCTTCGTGCTGCTAGTCCTACTGTCACGCGTCTCCTGGCCACTGCTGTCACTGACCCTTCCTTTGAGTCAGCTGCTGCGTCTGCCTTAGTTGCTGAGCTTGTCGACTTTGCTGCTCACTGTCGTCTAGACTACGCTGCGAGTCCTGTTGCTGAGTCTGAGTCTAAGTATGTCTGTCCTCCGTCCGTCGGGGGTGAGTGTGCTCTTGGCACGGACGTCCTTGAGGACAGGCAGGAGGAGTTTGAGTGCTTTGCCGCCGCTGTACCTCATCTCGTGTCCATGCTGATTGCACCTGAGGGAGACCCGGATGCACCAGACATCCCGACCCCGCGCTCTTACGCTGAGGCGATTGCGGGTGAGTACTCCTCTCAGTGGCAGTCAGCCATGGACGCAGAGATGGCCCTGGAAGTCCACTGGCACTTACGTCGACGAGGTCCCCCCTTCTGGGGCGAACATCTCCGCCAGTGGCATGTGGATTTTCAGGGTGAAGCGGCCGCCAGGTTCTCCGCCTGTCTTCAAGGCTCGTTACGTTGCTCGAGGCTTCAGTCAGCGAGAGGGAGTAGACTTCTTCCAGACCTTCTCCCCCACACCGAAGATGACCACTCTTCGGGTGCTACTGCACGTTGCCGCTCAGCGTGACTACGAGCTTCACTCTCTTGACTTCAGCACAGCTTTCTTGCAGGGCAGCCTGCTCGAGGAGATCTGGCTGCGCCGCCCTCCTGGCTTCACTGGGTCGTTCCCTCCTGGTACCCAGTGGAGCCTCCGGCGGCCGGTCTACGGTCTCCGCCAGGCGCCACGTGAGTGGCACGACACACTGAGGACTACACTTGCGGCTCTTGGGTTCGCGCCTTCTACTGCTGACCCGTCGCTGTTTCTGCGCACCGACACTTCGCTGCCGCCGTTCTACATCCTCGTGTACGTCGATGACTTGGTCTTTGCCACTGCTGACACTGAGGCTCTCGCCCTGGTGAAGTCGGAGCTGCAGAAGAGACACACGTGCACAGACCTGGGTGAACTGCGCAGCTACCTTGGCTTGCAGATCACCCGGGACAGAGCACGCCGCACCATCACACTGACTCAGTCACACATGGTGCAGCAGGTCCTTCAGTGCTTCGGCTTCACCTGGTCCTCGGCACAGGCCACTCCTCTGGCTACAGGTCACTCTCTCTCAGCTCCACCTTCGGACGAGTCCGTAGAGCCGAGTGGTCCTTACCCAGAGCTAGTTGGCTGTCTCATGTACCTGATGACTTGCACTCGTCCTGACCTCGCGTACCCTCTTGGCCTTCTGGCTCGCTACGTGGCTCCTGGTCAGCACCGAAAGGTGCACATGGATGCTGCTAAGAGGGTACTGCGCTACTTGTGCAGTACATCAGGCATGGGACTCGTGCTTGGAGGGAGGAGCTCAGTTGTTCTCACTGGGCACTCAGACGCTTCTTAGGTTGACGACCAGGCTACTCAGCGGTCGTCACAGGGTTACACCTTCAGCCTTGGCTCTGGTTCAGTTTCTTGGCGTTCTACACGTTCGTCTTCAGTTCTCAGCTCCAGTTGTGAGGCTGAGATCTACGCCACAGCCATGGGTGCACAGGAGTTACGCTGGCTCACCTACCTGCTGACTGACTTGGGAGAGCGGCCTCGTTCTCCTCCAGTGCTGTACGTCGACAACAAGGCTACCATTGCCTTGTGTGAGGAGCACAGACTGGAGCACAGAACGAAGCACATCGCTCTGCGTTACTTCCTGGCTCGAGAGTTGCAGCAGCGTGGTCAGCTTCGTCTGCGTTACGTGGCCACTCGGGCCAACACTGCTGATATATTCACCAAGGCACTTCAGTCTGGTGATCATCAGCGTTTCTGCACTATGCTAGGGCTTGTGCCCACTTTTCCTCACTTGCTGTAGGCTTTGCTTGTATTGTGATGTATACACATATATATACCTGCATGCTTGCTTTGCTAGGTAGAGATAACTGTACTGTTTGTGTTGCATATATGCCTCTGCATGTGGACTGGCCTTGTGGCCCTTTGCTTGTGCTCAGAGTGTGTGGTGACGTTGTGATCCACCCTGAGCTTGCTTTGCCTTTCTTGACTGGGCTTGTGACCCCTTGCTCTCCCCCACTTTGCCTATGGGGGTGTGTCAAATGTTATATATGCTACAGTTTGTTTAGGCTGTATTGGGGTAGTTACTATGGGGTACAGTAAGTTTAGGGTTTCCTACTTGTACCCAACTCTTTCCTAGTGCAATCACTCTTGTTCATTCTGACAACAAGTTACAAGCTTAAGGAAGGATCATCATCCAACCAAGTCTTGAAGTTCACCTCAAGTAAAGTCATCAAGATGAAGTCCCTCTCAAGCTCTTCTCTCAAGTTACTTCTACAACTACTTCTAGTAAGATTCATCCAAGTGTTTACATCTCTTTCGTTTCCTCAACAAGCTCTTATTCACCTACTCTCTTTTGAGTTCTTATCTCATCAAGTATTCCATCTCACACAAGTTTCCCTTTATAGTCACAAGCTCTAGGCACCATCTTCTCTTCTATCAAGTCTATCATTCGCTCATCTATACACCCTATTTCTCGCTACACTGAACTGTGCCGAACAGGTGGGAAACCTTGTTATCTTCGATTTGCCTAATTGAACCATACGAAAACGTAATTTAACCACCGTTAACCTTGCTTTTCCCATCGTGAGTTCATTATAACCGATTTCACAATGGCGAGAAAGAGGGTGCATATGCTACAGTTCCACTGTTGCATCTTGTCTTTATCTCATTTCTGACGATAAATTAAACTGCTGGATAGGGCAGTAGCGTCGTACGAGATAGGCAGCAGATCGCGCGATGGAGCTTCCGCCCGATGCCCGGCGGGGCAAGAGCCGCGCGGCGGCCGTGAGCCCGTTGGTGCTGCGCGAAATCGTCGCCGTGCGACGCGCGCATCCCGAGCTGGCGAAAGAGCACATTGCAACGGCCGTCAACGCGCAGTACGACACGCGCCTCGGCAGCAGCGACATCGACCGACTCTACCGAAAGGCCACCGTCGAAAGCAGCGTAGGGAAGAGATCAAGTTCGTTCGTTATAAGAACGCGCAGCTGGAGGCGGAGTTGGCGCGCTGGACGCGCGAGAGGCGATCCGTCTCGAAGCGTGGTGGGCGGCGCGGGGGAAGGCGGAGGTCCAGAGGTCGAGCATCGTACATAACCTTCAGAAGTATGCGCGGCGCATCGCAGAGCGGTTCGGCGTGCCTCCTCTGTTCGAGTTCGAGCGCTGGTGGTGCTGCGCTGTGCTGCGCGACGCGGGGCTCGATGAGTTCGGCGAGGAGGTGGGGACGCGCCCGACGGCGGGTCGGGAGCGGCAGTGAGCTCGCTGGGCGCGCGCGTGCGGTACGAGGTGGCGATGCTGGCGTGCGTGCGGCCGTTCCTGCGCCCGCAGATGATACCGGCCGCCGTGCACGCACGCTACGGGCTGTGGCTCATCCCCAAGCACGTCCGCCACATCGCCCAGGACAGCCGCCGCTGGGTTCGCGCGGGGGAGAGCGCGCTGGGCGCGGCGGACGGGGGGGAGAGCGCGCTGGAGGAGGCAGTGGCGCTGTGGGTGGTGGCGGAGGAGGAGGGCGTGGGGCGCGCTGTGAGCCACGCGCAGCTGGTGGGGAAGGCGAGGGAGCTGGCACGGGGGTGTGGCGTGGAGGAGGGGTGGTGCACTGAGGCATGGGCGAGCAGGTTCGTACGGCCGTATTGGCTGCTGCTGCTTCGCCTGGCCGAGACACGCAGGGGCGCTGGGGATGGGGCTGAGGGGGAGAGGACATGAATGGGGAAGGAGGGCGCAAGTGGGACTGTGGGAGTGAAGTGGAGTGTTGGGGGAGAGGTAGGAGGAGGCTGAGGACGAAAGTGAGGCGCACGGGAACAGCGAGTGACGATGAGGATGCAGAGGGGGAGAACTTCGAGGAGGAGTATGAGGAGGACTGGGCGGGGTACGACGGCTGCACTCCTGCTGGTGGAGGCGCGAGCAGGGGCACGGGGTGGGAGAGGGAGAGGCGGATGGGGCTGCTGGCGGGGGTGGAGAACCCGTACCGCCTCTGCTCATGCGCCTGGCTCGCGAGCAGGGCGCCATGCTGCCGTGCGATGTGGTGGAAGAGGCCGTGCTGGATGCGGGGCTGCTGCCCCCCCCATCATCACCAGCAACAGCACTGCCCCCGCCAGCACCAGCAGCGCCAGCAAAGGGCCGAGGGGGGGCAGTGGGCGCTGTTGCAATGCAGGGAGAAGCGGGAGAGAGGCAACGGGAGGCAGACCTGGGGCGGACGGGTTATGCTGGCAGTGGGGGAGGGGAGGGCGGAGCGGGTAAGCCAAAGCAGCCTAGCGCCCGAGTTTCTTCCAATGATAGGCAGAGGCAGTCCCTCTCGCAGGCGGTAGAGTGGCGGTCCACGTGCCCCCTGCCCGCCATGGGCAGCCCCGAGCTGCAGGCGGTATAGGCAGAGCTGAGCAACGAGAGCGTCGTGCTGCCGCACTTCCACTTCCACCGCCTGCCGCCCACGCTGGGTAGTGGTGGCAGAGGAGAGAAGAGGAAAGAACGAGGAGCAGCTCTCGGTGGTGAGAGAGGGGGCGTGTGGCGGCGAGAGGAGGTCCAAGGTAGTGGTGAAGGTGGGGCGGTAGAGGAGGCGGAGGAGGAGGAGCAGGAGCAGGGAGAGGGGGAGGGCGGGCTGGTGTCCCTGGTGTGTGGGGATGCGGCGGCAGGCGTGGTGGTGGAGCGGCAGCTGCCAGGCCTCACGCTGAGTCGCATCAGAGCCATCTGCCTCGCCGCCCTCGCCCGCCCCCACCTGCCCCACGCTCACCTGCTGCACGCCATCTCCCACGCCTGGGGGCTGCCGCTCTCCCCCCTTCACCTGCGCGCCATCCTTGCCCAGACCTCCAGGTTACGTGACCCCCCCTCGCCCCCCCTTCCACCACTGCCCCCCCCCCCCCCCCCCCCCCTTGCTCGCCCTCCACCACCTTTCCCCTCCCACCCTCATCTCTGCACTCTCTCTGCTCAGCCCCCCCTACCCCGTGTCTCCCCTCTCTTCCCCCCGCCCTTCCACCCACGCTCCCCCGCATCCCCTGCAGGTGGATGGTGCTGCCGGGGGAAGTCACGAGGGCGGTGGTGGAGAGGCGGGTGAGGAGCGCGTGTGGAAGGAGGATGGGCAGCGGGCGGGGCGAGTGGAGGTGGTGTTGTTGCAGTGGGTGCAGTTGCTCAACGCCACCATTCTCCTCGACCACGCCCGCTTCTCCTTCCCGCCCGGCTTCCACTGGATCTCGCCTGCTGCTGCTGCTGCTGCTGAACCCGGCACTGCTGCCAGTGCTGATGCTGGCGGTACTGCTGCTGCCGCCGCTGCTCAGAGCAATGGTGGTGATTGTGACACCACTGCTGCTGCTGCTGCTGCTGCTGCTGCTGCTGCTGCTGCTGAGCGGGGTGCTGGGTCACCGTGTGAAGCTGCTGCTGCTGCGAGCGGGGTGATGGAGGAGCACAGGTGATGGAGGAGCACAGGTGATGGAGGAGCACAGGTGATGGAGGAGCACAGGTGATGGAGGAGCACAGGTGATGGAGGAGCACAGGTGATGGAGGAGCACAGGTGATGGAGGAGCACAGGTGATGGAGGAGCACAGGTGATGGAGGAGCACAGGTGATGGAGGAGCACAGGTGATGGAGGAGCACAGGTGATGGAGGAGCACAGGTGATGGAGGAGCACAGGTGATGGAGGAGCACAGGTGATGGAGGAGCACAGGTGATGGAGGAGCACAGGTGATGGAGGAGCACATGAGGCACCTCTTCGGCCCAGTGGACCCGGGAGGGGGGGCATCCACCACCGCCAATCCCAATGCCAATCCCAGTGGGACCATGAGCGCACGCGCAGGCGGGGGGCTGCTGGGGAGGCACTGGGTGCCGTTCATTCTCACGCGCCGCATGCTGCACCAGGCAGCGCGCCGCATCGTCCCGCTGCTGTACCGCAGCGGCAGGGGCTGCCCCAAGCTCGAGATCTACTGGTGCCGCCGCTTCCTGCGCCGCCTCGAGGCCCTGCGGTCGCTGGCGCGCCTGAAGCTCACTGCCGCCCGCCAGGGGGGCCCGCCGCCCGTTGTGATCCGGTGGCCCACGGCGGGGCGCTGGGAGGAAGAGGGAGAGGGAGAGGGTATGACGCGCGACGATGCTGCTGCTGGTGATGCTGCTGCTGGTGGTGATGCTGCTGTTGGTGCTGTTGATGCTGGTGCTGCTGCTACTCATGGTGATATAGCCAGTGCTGCAGCCAGGGCGCGACAAGAGGAGGCGTGGCAAACGCATTTTCTGCAGCGGGTGGAACGACATGTGCAGGAGTTCAGAGAGGTGCAGCGAGGCGGGAGAGAAACACGTGGAGCAGATGAAACCCGTGAAGCAGATGAAACCCGTGAAGCAGATGAAACCCGTGAAGCAGATGAAACGCGTGAAGCAGATGAAACGCGTGAAGCAGATGAAACGCGTGGAGCAGATGAAACGCGTGAAGCAGATGAAACGCGTGGAGCAGATGAAACGTGTGAAGCAGATGGTTCAGAGTTTGGAGATAGAGGGGAAGTGAGAGGAGAAGTGGCTAAGAAACAAGAGAGGTGGAAATGGATGGAAGGAGGCGATACAAGAACGGACATGAGCGAAATGGGGAAGAGGGGGGGTGGGGGAGAGAGATTCAAATGGCTGACGAGTTGCTGTGTGCGAAGGAGGTGGTGAAGGCACCAGTGGCTGTGGGGGCAGCGGCACGCGTGCCAGCAGCAGCAGTGGTGGTGGCGGCGGTGCGGAGGGCGTTGTGTGAGTGGGTGGCGGAGGGGGTGGTGGGGCGGTGAGCGGACGAGGAGGAGGCGCGGGAGCAGGCAGTGGTGGTGGGCGCAGTGAAGGCCACGTGGGGCGTGGCGGTGGGCGAGGAGCTGCTGGCTCTACTGTGGCAGCAGCGCTCCCTGCTGCTGGGCCAAGGGTGGGAGGGAAGGATCAGAGCACGGTTAGCAGGGGGGCTGCAGCAGCAGAGGGAGTGTGGGGAGCGGAGGGCGGAGGCGGATGGGAAGAAGGAGGAAATGAAGGTTGGGGATGATGGCAAGGAGAAGGGGCAGGTGAAGCAGAAGAAGGGGCAGGTAGGTGGGGCAGGAGAAGGGGCAGGTGGGGCAGGAGAAGGGGCAGGTGGGGCAGGAGAAGGGGCAGGTGGGGCAGGAGAAGGGGCAGGTGGGGCAGGAGAAGGGGCAGGTGGGGCAGGAGAAGGGGCAGGTGGGGCAGGAGAAGGGGCAGGTGGGGCAGGAGAAGGCGCAGGTGGGGCAGGAGAAGGGGCAGGTGGGACAGGAGAAGGGGCAGGTGGGGCAGGAAAAGGGTGTCCGTGGTGACCCCAGCGCGCTGCTGCTGCAGTGGGTGGCGTGGTGGGACGTGCGTGCGCTGCTGCTGGCGCTGGATGGGCCACAGTGGCACGGCAGGCTGCTGGCACGCGTGGCATGCAAGGTGCAGGGGGGTGCATGCAGGTGCGGGCAGGGCCAGTGCAGGGTGCATGCAGTGGCGCAAGGTGTGTGTGGTGGGGGGAACGGGAAGAGGCGGCGTGAACAGGTGGGATTGCGGGTGCGATCCGTGCGGCGTGGATGCCGAGATTTAAATCGCAGTGGGATTGCTGATGCTCATGCTGGTGATGCTGGTGGTGGTGACGATGGTGGTAATGATGATAGTGACGATGATGGTGATGGTGGTGCTGGCGTGGCATCATTGCCACACAGGGAGAGGCAAGTGGGTGCAGGAGGCGACCCTGTAGGGCGGCAGTGGAGCGCAGCGGCTGCCTGGCAGGCAGGGGCGACTGCTGCCCGCCCCACCCCTCCCACGGGAGGTGCAGCACCGACAGCAGCGGGAGCAGCAGCGGTGGTGGGGGTGGGGGCGAGGGCAGTGCCACATGGCCAGACCACAGCAATGGGTGCATGGGCTGGTGCACAGGCAGCAGCAGTGGGAGCAGCAACGTCGGTGGGGGTGGGGGTGGGATCAGTGCCACACGGGCAGAGCACAGCAATGGGTGCAGGCACATGGCAGCAGGCGCACAGCACACAAACTGCAGTAGCAATGCGCGCACGCTCACACGCACCATCAGCAGCTTGCCCCGTGCCTGCTTCTCTGCGCGTGCGCCCCTCCACTCTGCAAGGGTTGCAGCAGAGCCAGCATCTCAGGCAGCCCCTCGCAGCACACGGGGCCGCCCACCGGCCTGTCCACCCACCTCTTATCAGCCCAGCTCTAACCAGCCCACCTCTAATCAACCCACCACTTATCAACTCACCACTTATCAACCCACCACTTATCAACCCTCCTCATCTCAACCCACCTCATATCAACCCACCTCATATCAACCCACCTCATATCAACCCACCTCCTATCAACCCACCTCATATCAACCCACCTCATATCAACCCACCTCATATCAACCCACCTCCTATCAACCCACCTCATATCAACACACCTCCTATCAACCCACCTCCTATCAACCCACCTCATATCAACCCACCTCCTATCAACCCACCTCATATCAACACACCTCCTATCAACCCACCTCCTATCAACCCACCTCCTATCAACCCACCTCCTATCAGCTTACTTTTTATGAACCCTCCCCAGCGCACCTCTTATCAGCCCTCTTCTTATCAGCCCAGCTCGTATCAGCCCAGCTCGTATCAGCCCAGCTCGTATCAGCCCAGCTCGTATCAGCCAAGCTCTTATCCCCTTGGTGCACCCCAAACAAGTCGTCTCCACCACCCCTGTGCGTCCCAGCAGCATCATTCCCCCTCTCAACCTTCCCACTCTCAACATCCCCCCTCCCACACTCCCCGCTTTGCACGCGTTGTGGGGCCGGGCACAGGAAGGAGGGAGGGGCGGAAACAGAAGTTGCAGCGATTAAATCGGGCAGCTGGGAAGGTTCTGAAGGATAGGCGGGCAGGGAAAGGGGCAGCAAAAGGATCAGCCTTTCAGAATGCATGGAAGACGCTGATGATGCAAGGGGGTGAGGAGGGCGAGGAGGGCGAGGAGGCAGAGGAGGGAGAGGAGGGAGAGGAGGGAGAGGAGGGAGAGGAGGGTGAGGAGGGAGAGGAGCAAGAGGTGAAGAGGAGACTAGACTGGGGGGAAGTAAAGCGCAATGGTAAGAAGAGGAGGGTTACATGGGAGGGAGGGAATGGCAGGCGGGATGGAGAGGCAGGGGTTGATGGTAGAAGCACTGGTGGCGATGGCAGTGACAGTGAGAGCAGTGCGAGTGGGAGTGAGAGTGGGAGTGCAAGTGGAAGTGGGAGTCACGGGGTTGAGGAGGGCAGCAGTGATGAGAGCGTGCAGGGAGGGGAGAGCAGCCCAGCTCACCCAGGTGTCACAGCAGGCAGGGGGCAGCAGGCAGCGGGAGGGGGAGGGGGTACGGGCAGTGGGGTGAGCAGCGGCGCATGTGGTGTCGGCAGCAGGAGGGGGAGGTTGCATCCAGGGATGGAGCGCTTCGTGCAGCCAGAGGCAGCAGCAGCCATGCAGGGCATACTTGGGGAAGGTACATCTGTGCCGCTCCCTCTCCCCCAGAATCCGGCTGAAGCAGTGGTGGCGACGGCACTTGTGGCGGCAGCAGTGGCCACTCCTGCTGCCACTGCTTTCATTGCCAAGGGGGAGGCATTGGGTAACCGTGGGGGAGAGCCGTCTACTGCCGGCACTGCTGCTTCTGCCACGGTTGCTAATTCTTGTGCTGCTGCTGCTGTTGGCAATAGTGGTACTCGTGATAATCAAAGTGCTCCTGAGTTTGGTAATGCTGGTGTTGCTGCTGCCACTGATGCCACTGCCACTGCTGCTGCTGCTGCTGCTGCTGCTGCTGGCACTGCTGCTGCTGGTGGTGGTGGCACTGCTGCTGCTGCTGCTGGCACTTCGGCTGCTGCTGCTGCTGCTGCTGCTGGCACTGCGGCTGCTGCAGCTGCTGCTGCTGCTGGCGGCATGGAGGCGATTGTGACACCAGGAGTGGTGAGAGCCATGGGGGGCATGGGGAGCATGGGGGCCCCAAGCAGGCAGCATGGCTCTCATCATTCACCCGGGATGGCTGCCACTGCTTCCGATGCTGCCATGCCTTTGGTGCTTCAACGACTGCAGTCAACAGTGCTGCTTCAGCCATCAATGCCGGTTCAGGAGGGAAATTGGCTGTTGCAATATCTGTCATCAAATGTGCAACGGTTACAGCAGCAGCACCAGCAGCAGCAGCAAAAGTGGGAGAAGCGTATACACCAGTTGACGCAAGCGCATGAGCCACAAGCACAGCAGCAGGTGATGCTGCCGACTCATGAGGCGAGTCAGCAGCAGCTGATGCTACAAATACAGCAGCAGCAGCAGCAGCAACTGCTGCTCCAGCAGCAGCAGCAGCTTCAGCAGCAGCAGCAACAGCAGCAGGTGCTACAGCAGTGTGCGCAGCAAGCAAATAGCAGCTGTTGTGGTGATTCAAAGGCAGGAAATTCACGAGTTACAGCAGCAGGTGCACCAACAACACCAGCAGCAACGACAATACCCATGAGTGGCATGTACAGCCAAGCTTTAGTGAAATCCGCTCATTTTGGTTGCTCCAAGAAACACTCTAGAAAACAACACCCATTGCTGTTAATCTTCTACCACATCTACCAGTTAAATTGAGGTTGGCTCGTAACCATGCGTGTGTACGGATTGAAAGTTACTGTTTGGGCTTTGCGCCAGCGATGCCTCTCGTTGGACGGGTGAAGTATGCTAGCGAAGCGACCTTTCCCACTAATTCAGCCCCTTTTCAGCATTTTTCAGACTTTCTTTTCCGTACTCTGGAATTTATTACCCTTCATTCTAGGAGCTTCTATTCTCCAGTGCAAGTTGGCATTTTGGCATATTTTCAGCGTAACTTTGCCTGCCATGCCAAGCGAGATTTGCCAGCCTACCGTACCCCAAAATTAACCAATCATCCTGCTTGCATTGAAGCTGTTTGATTGTCAACCAGTGATGTTACGGTACAGTTGTGGCAACTTTGAAGGGGCATGCTTCATTCACGAAACTGGTGATGGTGCATAGTCTGGGCATAAACCAAGCGGATCACAATCGTGAAGCTGGAAAGCCAGAAACGCGGCAAACTGGCAAGAGAAACGGACGACGGGGAGGGGCACGAGAGGTCTGGGGAAGGGGATGGTTGCTGGGAGAGCACAGAATAGCTTTGGATTCTGATTCTTGTCACGGTTGACCGGCACGGCGCTGCTTGAATCGTGAGAGAGGCCTTGCTGGTGATGCTGGCTGCAAGGATAACGGGCACCAAAAGAACACGAGAATGAGAGTAGATCGGATTCAGAAGCAGGCTGAGAGAATGAGTGGGAGTATGAGTATAAGAGGGGAGGAGGAAGAGATAAACGACTGTGAAGTAACCACGTCACGGTATCCTTCTTCACTCGGGGCAAGGACGACCACGTAACTTCTCAAGGAAAGCATTGCTACAAGAAGGTGAGCCCTCTAGCAGCGGGCAGCGGCGACCGCGGCAGCAGCAGTAGCACACAAAGACTAGTGGGAGTAAATGGCGAAAATGGGAGTAGCACGGCCAGTGTGTTACCAATGGCACAGAAGGGAGTGGTGGAGAGGAAGAGGAGTCGGAGGTTCGCTCCACAACAGCTCCTGAGAACGCCTGTTGTTGTGGGCACAGCACACAACACAGCAGGAGGGGCAAGAGGAGTAGGGCACCGGCGAAAGGCCAGTTAAGCAGGCTGGTGGCGCAACAGGGAATCACAGACGTGAAGTGACGCTGTGGATGCTTCTGAAGAGTTTGAGCGTTGATGCGCTTTGAAGCATGGATGTGATGTGAGAGGATGAGCTGCACGCCTTCTTCTGCCTCGCCTCAAGCTTACTTGCAAACATAACTTCTCACCAACAGGTAAAGTAAAAGTCGCGGGATACGCACATCTCACAGGAATCTCTCCCTCCCATGCTGCTCATCTGTCTCGCGCACTCTGACTGATACTCCCCCCTGCTCCCCTCCCACTGGACCGACAGGTAGCCTGCTATTCAATCAAATACCTCAACACGACATTTCCTATTTGGGAGGACTCTAGTCTATTTCTATACCTGCCTTTTCGGTTCAGAAAATCACTCAAAGATTGAGTTATCATATCATTAGGTGCATTCAATTCTACAGGTGAACACATCCCTTGACCTGACTGCTTGCTCATCCCTGCCTCACCTTGACCTGACTGCTTACTACTCATCCCGACCTCACCTTGAGTTGACTGGCTGATGGCCCCATCTCCCTCCGCTCCGCCTGTGAAGGGGGAATTTCCTGCTGCGCTTCTCCTCTACCCCCCTCCACCGCCTGCCCCTGCTGCCCTCCCACTGCAGCACCTATCCTCATTGCTGACACGCCCTCCATCAGCCTCTGTGAAGGGGGCATTCCCTGCCCCGCTGCTGCTCTTACTCCCTCCACTGCCTTTCGCTGCTGCCCTCCCACTGCACCGATCCTCATTGCTGACAAGCCCTCAATTAGCTTCTGCTCGCTCTGTGTTCTTGTCCTACTCTCTTGTTTGTCCCTCCTCTCTTGTTTGTCCCTCCTCTCTTCCTCCCCATCCTCCTCGTCTTCCTCTTCTTCCTCCCAATCTTCTTCGTCTTCCTCCTCTTCCTCTCCCACCTCCTCACCCTCCTCGTCCTCATCTTCCTCCTCTTCTTCCTCCTCACTTCCCTCCTCCTCCTCCTCTTCCTCATCATCCCCAGCAGCAGCAGCAGCAGCCGCCTCAGCAGCTTCCATCTCGGCGAACAGAGCCTCAATGCGTCTGTCCTCCTCGTCCTCACCACCACTCCCACCATCCGCTTCTCTAGACGTCCCAACCACTTTGCAGGGATCCTTCCCTGCTGCCCTCCCCTTTGAACTGCCTTCTTTGCTCTCCTCCCCTCGTCTTGCTCCTTCAACCTTTCCTCCCTCCTCCTCCTCGCCCCCCTCCACCTCATCCTCATACTCGTGGATCTCCACACACCCCTCCTGTTGCATCCAGGTGTGTGAGTGGAAGAGTGAGGGCAGAGAGAGGAAGCCAAGGGAACGAGGAGAAGATGTTGAGAGTGGCATGTGCGGTCGTGAGAAAGCAATGGAGGCGTATCCAGGAAGTGCAATGGCCGCGCCGACCAACAGCACAGATCGGGGCAGTAAGGGAAAAGCGTGCGTTCTAATCGTTTGGTTTACATGAATGGAGGTACACCCTGTGACCAGAGTAATGAAGGATACAACTCAACACCTCGGGCATTTTATGTTTGGTTGGAGCTATACGCTGATTAGGACGTGAACTGTGTCAAGAGCATACCAGGCGGACATCACAATTCTGATTCAGTTGCATATTTGGACATCTGGGCATGTGACAGCCCTTTGTGCCTGCCAAGGTAATCACTCTTTCTATTCCTATGTAACGTACTCTGGGCTGAGGAGATGGTGCCTATCACATGCCAGAGTCCCGGAATCACCGGATGATCCTCTGCTTACCTCACCAATCCACCGCGCACAATCCCCCTCACCACCCCACCCCCTCCATTTCCTCCACCCCCTCCCCTTCCCCCCCCATCACCCTCACAGAAGCTTCTCTTTCCCATCCTTCTCTCACCTCAGCATCCGCCCCAGCCTGCTCGGCGAATTGCAGCTCGCCACGTAGCTCCTCCACCTTCGCCTGGCACCCCTCCAGCTGGCGCTCTATCATCGCGCCACGTCGCCGCAGCACCCCCAGCGCCTGGGACGCGGAGCGCTCAGCATACAGCCCGTCGCCCAGCAGGAGAGTCAACTCGTTGGTGTGCACGAGGCGGCCGGGGAAGAAGGCAGCGCGCCCAAAGGGGACCTGAGGGGATGGGCGGAGCACACAGTGTGCGTGGGAGGAAGCTAATTGCTCAGCATAGAACCCGTCCCCCAGCAGGAGGGTGAGGTGGTTGGTGTGAACCAGGCGGCCGGGGAAGAAGGCTGCGCGGCCAAAGGGGACCTGGTGGGAGGAGAACGCAAAGCACACAGAGAGTGTGGTCAGCGCACAGCCCGTCCCCCAGCAGGAGGGTGAGGTTGTTGGTGTGTACAAGGCGGCCGGGGAAGAAGGCTGCGCGGCCAAAGGGAACCTGGTGAAAGGAGAGGAGCACACAGTGTGTGTGGAAGGCTAATCTCTCAGTCGTGTGCGCTGGGCGCCCGGGGAAGAACGCAGCTCGGCCAAATGGAACCTGATGACGGGAGCAGCCCACACAGAGTGCACGGGATGAGCGCCTGGAGCACACAGAAAGTGTGGTGCTGCCTGCAGCGCCTCAGCACCCGGCGGGCTAATCTCTCTGCGTAAATGCCGTCTCTTGGAAGGAGAGTGAGCTCGTTGCTGTGGTGCAGACGGCCGGGAAAGACGGAAGCACACACAGTGCATGGGAGAGTGCGCGGAGCACACACAGTGCGTGGGAGAGTGCGCGGAGCACACCGAGCATTATGTTGGCCCCTAGCGGCGCCGGGTAGGCTGGTCTCTTGGCGCAGGTACAGCCTTCCATCAAGGGGAGGGTTGCTAGCGTGGCTGCCGCTGCCGCAGCGCGAACAGGGAAAGTGGAAGAAACAGGGAGGGTGGACCGACAGTGCGCGTCGCCTCTCACCACTCGACGGTGCACGAATCGCCCTTCCACCAGCCGCGTTGGCTCGTGGGTGTGAGGGGGGGAGGAGTCAACCAAAGGGGACTGGATGCGAGAACAATTTGACGCCTGCAAGGAACTTATGTGAGCGCACCAGCAGAGCAAACCATCGTAGGTGCTACGGCGGACTGACGCCAAGGGTTAAATCTCACTGCTGCGACCTCGGGAAATTCCTCGTTTTGCCAATGGGCAAGGGCATGGGGCTTTACTGTTACAGAGGTTGGAACACTGACACGTGGCTCATTTACTCAGCATGGTTTCCTGCCACGCACCATGACAGCGTGGCTTGTTTTGTCGGGTAGCGAGCGCACGAGCGTGCAGAGCTCCGCGTTCTCCTGCTTGAATCGCCTCAGGCGGTCCGCGTTGCCGCGCTCCTCCTCCAGCGATCGCGATATGCGCGCCGCTGCCGCCGCCGCCTGCTGCGGGGAGACGACGGCTGCGAGCGGCTCGACGCGCCCGCGCACCACCTTGCGCACCATGCCGCTGCTGTACGCGTTATGTGCTACCGCGACTGCTGGAAAGCAGTAGGGATTTTTTGGCTTGTATCAGTTCGCGCTACCGGCGTGGATTACCCTCACCTCGTCATCTCGTTTGATAAGATATGGATGAGTCTTTCTGGGAAGTTAGGGCGACGGGGAGGGTAAGTGAGCGCGACGGGGAGGGGCAGTGAGCGCGACGGATGGGCAGTGAGCGCGACGGGGGGAAACTAAAATAGGAAATCGAGGCCGGCGGGTCGGGGGAAGTGAGGGCGAAGAGGACGCGGAGCGAGGGACGGCAGGGGAAAGTAAGGCGACGGACGAGGAAATGGCGAAGCGGTGGGGCGGGCGAGCGATAGAGTCGCTCTACGACTGGAGCAGGCGAGTCCATGAAAGTACGTCGGAATGTGGTTCAAGTGAAAATGGTTGGGCCCGTTGGGGATCAGGATTTGAGCGGGCAATTGTTGGCGCGAATGTTGTACGACAATCCATGTGGTAACGCTGTTACATGAGTTCCAAAACGACCTTGTGGAAGTGTGTGACATTCGCTGCAGTATTTTGTCCCACAGGTTTCAACCAATCACTCCTTCGACTTACCACGCCCTAGTTTCGCCTAGAACGAGGAATGATGACTCTGCGGCAGCGCCAAAGCAGCATGCACATCTAAACCGTCACGAGATGAGTAATATTCACGCAGGTGGCACGGCAAGACTACCGCTCGATTCGAGAAGATGATACTCGCGACGCCTTTCTTGCCGATGCCAGAAAGCGTCAGCGGCGGCATCGGCGGCATCGCAGCGTCGCCAGCTGCTTGGTGGCCGCATGTCGATTGTCGTTTGCCAGCTTAGCAGCTAACGGGTAACTTCCATTGTCCAATGTTGCGAGATTCAAAACTCCGTGGTAACAAATCCCGTTTCACGCCCGCGAGTCCACGAGTCCCGTTTAACAAATGGCATTTGCCTCACGTGTGGGGATGGTCGATTTCAGTCTGATTTCTAGAACGCCCCAGCTGCGGTTTAATTGCTTGAAGCATTCGGGTCAGGGCTAGTCAATTCTTCCGCTCGAGTGTTCACCGGTGCGACTACTACTTCAGCGTGAATCTGAGTGGCTGGGAAAATGGCAGCACGGAATTCCTACTACCAGTGAGCAAATCCTCTTCCCGCTTTCCCGCTTCCTTGGATCTTTTAACCTGATGATATCCTACATCACACGAAATGATAAGCTTCATGTCGCTTGTTCCCCTCGACATGCCAACTTAATCCTTCTCCCGCGTTTCATCTGTGCAGTGTATATAACGGCCCGCGAGGGTAGGTCTCTCTCTGTCTTATTATGCGCACTACTTTTCTACCACACCGTTTTCACAGATAATGGACTCTATCCAGTTATGCTGATAAGATCATAGTGGCGTGTCTGGATTTTTTTGCTTTTAACTGCTGCCTTGTTACCTTTTCTGGACTCATGTTAACCTGTACAGCTCAGGAGCCTTCAGAAGCAATCAATTACCAGAAACGAACAGGTGGGTCTGTGTACAAAACTGGTGGTGGAATTCATACGGCGCTAGATTACTTAATTGAAGCCATACAGCACATGTTGGTACTGATCGTGCCTTGCTCATCAACTACAGTCTCTATATCTGTTACTGTACCAATAAATTCAGTCCTTTGGTAAGTATAATCTTCTCCTGTGCGGTACACAATTTCAGGCATGCTGAGCTGGCACGCCTCGCTGCAAAGCTGAAGGACCTATTCGAGCGAGAGAAGTTCACAGACGTGGTCTTTGAGGCTGCTGATGGGACCAAGATTCGTGCGCACCGCAACATCGTAACATTATGGTAACATGTGACTCATGCCATTCTGGAAACATCATATACCACCATATGTCAAGCTTCTCCACTCTGCAGTGCAAAGTCTTTTGTTGTTTACATCTCTCCTTTTCTTCTTCGTTTCAGGTCGCCAGTGCTGGATTCGATGCTAGAGGATGCAGCGGATGAGAGGGATCAGGTGTTCAAGCTGGCGGACGTGGATGGCCACACCATGAGGCTGCTGCTGGCCTTCATGTACGGCTTCGACATGACTCCCAACGTAGCTGCTCTCAAGGTAATTGCAAATCCAATACACTAGGTGCGCCCCTCGTGTCTGTTCTACTGGATAAGGGTCACTGCCTGATAGACGTATCACCACCCGTTTCCCCAAGTAAGAACTTGTTGTGATTTTTGTTCTGCTGGTTCTCTTTTTCATTGTTTTCACGTTTTGTTTCTTCACTTAATTTGCTATGTTCCCTTCAACCAACAGCAACACGGGCTTCCACTGCTGGAAGCGGCACATAAGTTTGATGTTGCTGATCTAGCAGACAAGCTGGACCGGCAGCTATCAGCAGTCGATGTGGAGGAGCGCTCGCTCCTGCGAGTGCTGAAAGCTGTTGACCGTGTTGGGGCGGAACGGACAAAGCAGGCCATCATCCATCACATCAACCACTTCATGGATTTCAGGAAGAGCCAAAAATTGATCAAGGTACTGCATTGTGTGTGTTTGTGTTTTTTTTGTGCGTCCCGATCTGATTTCCAGTTTCATGAATGTCATGACTCTGTGCGTTCAGGGTATGGGTGAAAGCAGTGACACGCATGACCGGCTGTTGGCATCTGAGATTACTCATGCTGTTCGTCCAAGCAGTTGTTAGTTGGCGAGTGTCAAATTCCGAAGAACACGTCAGGGAATGACGGATGGGATTGGACCGACCATTTTGACCCATCCACCTGCTTTTTATGGACTGGCCAGTTTCTGTTGGCACCCACATGTCAGCGAGTGTTTTTGGCACTGAGGTCATAAACCAGTACCGGTTGCTCATTGACCTTATAGGTAGCCAAAAATACCGTAGGAGCCGAGCCGAGGGACTCCACTAAGTGCCTGGGAAACTGGCTGTACGCTGCACTGTATTAACCCGCAGCAGGCTGCAGGATGTTACCGTAAGTGGATGTGCTTGTAACCTGTGGGCGCTGCCAGGGCTGATTTTATCAGGGTAATTACCCTGATTTCAGGGTGATTTCAGGCTTTCCACTTCGTGGAGACTGAAATTTCAGAGTTATTGAATTTTCAGCCCTGATCCAATCAGAGTAATAGTTTAGCTGTCCCTGATTTTGAGTACAGTGTAACAGACTAGGCTGTTAGTGGACCCTGACTTTACAGAGTATCGACTCTGTGGACCATGACTTATCGAGAGGAAGTTTCTCAGAAGTTTCCTTCCGATGACCCCGCCTTGGATTGATCGCAGTGATCCCCCCACATGTGCGTAATCCCCCCCCTTCCCGCTTTATCAAGACGAAGTTTCTTCGAAACTTCGTTCTGATACACCTACCATCGAAATCACGCGAATCTGCAATGTCAGATATACTTTGTTGGGATTGGTCGAAATATACTCTGACAGCGGAAATCTTTGACTCGAACAGGTGTGACTCGCCCGTTCGGTCGGCACACTCGCTCCAGAAGTAACGCCTCTGAGGGTGACTAACTACAGTCGCAGCGTGTCTGATGCATGCCAGCTGAAGAGATCCGATTGGGCATGGTAATAAGACAGGGAAACGTTACACTCGCACACCAGATAGGTCAATCATGTCAAATGATATATGCATGTTTAGGTTGTCTAGGCTGTATGGGGGTTAGCACTAGGGGGTACAACATTTCTCTCGACATTCTTCTTGTACCCCCCCCTTGACCTAATCATACATTCTTGCCTAGATTCTAAGATGGTATCTAGAGCAATAGGTCTTTAGGACCTAAAATTAGCGCCCACCCGTTACCACGTTACCTCACCTGTCTGCCTGCCTTGCCTGCTGCCCGCGCGCGCCTCGACTGCACGCGCGCGGCCCCCTTTTTTTTTACCGCGCGCGCCGCTTATGCAGCCCGCGCGCAGCCCGTTTAGGCCCGTTTTCGGCCCCGCGCGCCACGACAGCCGCCCATGCGGCATGCCGCCGGCCCGCGCGCCGCGTAAGCCGCCCGCGCGCAGCTCGCTTAGGCCTTGCGCACCGCTTAAGCAGCCCGCGCGCAGCCCGTTTAGGCCCGTGTAGGCCCGTTTTCGGCCCCGCGCGCCACGTCAGCCGCCCGCGCGGCCTGCCGCCGGCCCCGCGCGTCGCCTCCTCCGGTGCGCAGCCTGCAACTCCTCCGCACGCCGCCATAGGAGCCAGCGCGCGGCCTACTGCTGCACCGTGCGCCGCCTTAGGAGCCCGTGTGCGGCCCGCTGTTGCACCGCGCGCCGCTTTAGAGGCCCACTGCTGCCCTTTGTGCTGCCTTAGGAGTCCGTGCACCGCCACTGCAGTCCGTGCGCCGCCACTGCAGCCTTGCACGCAGTCTCTCCTTGCTTGCCTTTTGCCTTGCCGCCTGCGCGTTAGACTTGCCTACACTGCAAGCATGGCGACTCTCAACGTGCTCGCGTTCGATCCTGACGGTCGCCCAGTAGAGTTTACCACCTGGCTTGACGACCTGCAACTGTTCCTTCTGACTGATGCCAAGGATGGTGTTTCCCTTTTCGATTACGTGACTGGCACTGCCGTTGCTCCTGCTGCCACTGAGCCTGCTCTAGACCGCTCCCAGTGGTAGACCCGCGATGCTGCTGCGCGCCTCGCTATTCGCAACCATTTGCCGATCACAGAACGCGCGCATTTTAGCCAGCACAAGACTGCCAAGGCACTGTACGACGCTGTAGTTGCCCGCTACTCTTCCCCGGCCACTGCAGCCCTCGGTCGACTTATGCTACCCTACATGTTCCCCGACCTGTCCTCGTTTACCACCGCTGAGGACCTCATCTCTCACCTACGCGCTAGTGACACTCGCCTTCGTGCCGCCCTTCCAGACGAGTTCCTCGCAGAGAACCACCCCCCGATGTACTTTACTCTCTACTTCCTCATCACCCGCCTCCCTGACACTCTTCGCTCAGTCAGGGACCATTTCCTCGCCCTTGACCCCCATTCTCTCACTGTCGACGACCTCGAGAAGCACCTCCTAGCAGCCGAG